AGAGAGAGAGAGAGAGAGAGAGAGAGACAGAGACAGAAACTTTACCGTCATACATTGCTATAGGTTGATGTTAGGTTAGTGTCCAGGCAGAGAGAACCATATTGTAGTGAGGTCTTGAGAGAGAGAGAGAGAGAGAGAGAGAGAACTTTACCGTCATACATGCTGTAGGTTGATGTTAGGTTAGTGTCCAGGCAGAGAGAATCATATTGTAGTGAGGTCTTGAGAGAGAGAGAGAGAGAGAGAGAGAGAGAGAGAGAGAGAACTTTACCGTCATACATGCTGTAGGTTGATGTTAGGTTAGTGTCCAGGCAGAGAGAACCATATTGTAGTGAGGTCTTGAGAGAGAGAGAGAGAGAGAGAGAGAGAGAGAGAGAACTTTACCGTCATACATGCTGTAGGTTGATGTTAGGTTAGTGTCCAGGCAGAGAGAACCATGTGTACGAATGGTATATAATACCGACAAGATGTGAGTAAGACACATGTGCAACATCTGGGTATCTTTATTGTAGACGTTTCGCCATCCAGTGGCTTTATCAATACAAATTCTAGGACATAACTTGAAGACAGTAGAACTATGTACAGAAGATGAGGTAATCAGTCCCTCAACCTAGGAGTAGGTGCGAACAGCACCATAGTCGTGGAGATTCTGAAGCAGAAGAAAGAATCCTGGCGCTTATATAGTAACGTCAGGTGAAGCAGACGAGGGCAAATTCACTGGTAGGCAGGATTCCCCAGTGGAAGCAGGTCCTTCCCAAAGAGATGGGTTAGTTGTAGTGGTAGTTGTCGTAGTCTACAATAAAGATACCCAGATGTTGCACATGTGTCTTACTCACATCTTGTCGGTATTATATACCATTCGTACACAACTTGTCAGACACTGCAACATCATGGAATCTTAATTCTGAGGACATGTACATAACCTTCACGACTACGACAACTACCACTACAACTAACCCATCTCTTTGGGAAGGACCTGCTTCCACTGGGGAATCCTGCCTACCAGTGAATTTGCCCTCGTCTGCTTCACCTGACGTTACTATATAAGCGCCAGGATTCTTTCTTCTGCTTCAGAATCTCCACGACTATGGTGCTGTTCGCACCTACTCCAAGGTTGAGGGACTGATTACCTCATCTTCTGTACATAGTTCTACTGTCTTCAACTTATGTCCTAGAATTTGTATTGATAAAGCCACTGGATGGCGAAACGTCTACAATAAAGATACCCAGATGTTGCACATGTGTCTTACTCACAGAGAGAACCATATTGTAGTGAGGTCTTGAGAGAGAGAGAGAGAGAGAGAGGAGAGAGAGAGAGAGAGAGAGAGAGAACTTTACCGTCATACATGCTGTAGGTTGATGTTAGGTTAGTGTCCAGGCAGAGAGAACCATATTGTAGTGAGGTCTTGAGAGAGAGAGAGAGAGAGAGAGAGAGAGAGAGAGAGAGAGAGAGAACTTTACCGTCATACATGCTGTAGGTTGATGTTAGGTTAGTGTCCAGGCAGAGAGAATCATATTGTAGTGAGGTCTTGAGAGAGAGAGAGAGAGAGAGAGAGAGAGAGAGAACTTTACCGTCATACATGCTGTAGGTTGATGTTAGGTTAGTGTCCAGGCAGAGAGAATCATATTCGTTCTTTCGAGGTGTAAATACGTTAACGATGAAGCAGTGTGTGTGATGCGACACCTGGAAGCAGGCAGGCTGGCAGGCTGGCTGGCAGGCAGGCTGGCAGGCTGGCTGGCAGGCAGGCTGGCAGGCAGGCTGGCAGGCAGGCTGGCAGGCAGGCTGGCAGGCAGTCTGGCAGGCAGGCAGGCTGGCTGGCAGGCTGGCAGGCAGGCTGGCTGGCAGGCTGGCAGGCAGGCTGGCAGGCAGGCTGGCTGGCAGGCTGGCAGGCAGGCTGGCTGGCAGGCTGGCTGGCAGGCTGGCTGGCAGGCAGGCTGGCAGGCTGGCTGGCAGGCAGGCTGGCAGGCAGGCTGGCAGGCAGGCTGGCTGGCAGGCTGGCAGGCAGGCTGGCTGGCAGGCTGGCAGGCAGGCTGGCAGGCAGGCTGGCTGGCAGGCAGGCTGGCAGGCAGGCTGGCAGGCAGGCTGGCTGGCAGGCTTGGCAGGCAGGCTGGCTGGCAGGTGGCAGGCAGGCTGGCAGGCAGGCTGGCTGGCAGGCTGGCAGGCTGGCAGGCAGGCTGGCTGGCAGGCTGGCTGGCAGGCTGGCTGGCTGGCAGGCAGGCTGGCAGGCAGGCTGGCAGGCTGGCTGGCAGGCAGGCTGGCAGGCAGGCTGGCTGGCAGGCAGGCTGGCTGGCAGGCTGGCTGGCAGGCTGGCTGGCAGGCTGGCAGGCAGGCTGGCTGGCAGGCTGGCTGGCAGGCTGGCTGGCAGGCAGGCTGGCAGGCAGGTGGCAGGCAGGTGGCTGGCCAGGCTGGCTGGCAGGCTGGTGGCAGGCTGGGCTGGCAGGCAGGCTGGCTGGCAGGCAGGCTGGCAGGCAGGTGGCAGGCAGGCTGGGGCAGGCTGGCAGGCAGGCTGGCTGGCAGGCTGGCGGGCAGCAGGCTGGCAGGCTGGCAGGCTGGCTGGCAGGCAGGCTGGCAGGCAGGCTGGCAGGCAGGCTGGCTGGCAGGCTGGCTGGCAGGCTGGCTGGCAGGCTGGCTGGCAGGCAGGCTGGCAGGCTGGCAGGCTGGCTGGCAGGCAGGCTGGCAGGCAGGCTGGCAGGCAGGCTGGCAGGCAGGGCAGGACAGGACAGGACAGGACAGGACAGGACAGGGCAGGACAGTACAGGGCTGTGGCTGATGAAGCCTAGCCTTGATAAAAGCTAGCCTTGATAAAACCTAGCCTTGATAAAAGCTAGCCTTGATAAAACCTAGCCTTGATAAAACCTAGCCTTGATAAAAGCTAGCCTTGATAAAAGCTAGCCTTGATAAAAGCTAGCCTTGATAAAACCTAGCCTTGATAAAGTCCAGCCTTGTATTCTCTGGTACCAAGATTCGCTTCCACACGCTTGCATCCAATACAATATTGAATCCCTCAGGTGTTGGGGCTTGAAGGAAGATCAATGTGTTAAGCGCGTTCAACAGTCGAGTAAATCACACTATATAGCCTGCTTGCCTAAGATAGAACCGTCGGGCAATTTATCTGCTTAAATGGAGAACGTTGATCAGAGTGCTTCACTGAGGCCTGGTCACAGACCGGGCCGCGGGGGCGTTGACCCCCGGAATTCTCTCCAGGTAAACTCCAGGTAAGCACTCGCTCTCTAGGCCAAGAAAAACGTATTTTGGAATGAAAATTATTTGCTTCAGTGGTCTTTTTTTTTTAAGGCAGCAGCCTTCTCACCCTTTACAAAATTGATTTTTTTTTTTTTTTTTCCATAGGTAAATTTCTTCCATTTCTTCAGTTAAAGCTTTGTTGGACAGCGATACGGTTTCTGAGTCTTTTCTGTCAAGCTTCTCACAGCTTTAAACACAGTAACATTCTTTAAGTCATCAGGATCCTCCTTTAAAAATTCTTCAAGAAGTGCTGAGGTTAAGTAAGGTTGGTCAAGAAACAGGATAAGTGTTTCCTGACGCTGCTCTTAGTCATATGATGACCCGCAGCTGGAGCTTTTGGTCATCTGACCGAGGCCTTCCACTGGCTTACCCTTCCACCCAATGAAAAATTATGGTTATAAGTATATATGGTTATAAGTATATATGATTATAAGTATATATGGTTATAAGTATGACCATTGGTATATATGGTATAAGTATATTTACCTGGAGACCTAGAGAGAGTTCCGGGGGTCAACGCCCCCGCGGCCCGGTCTGTGACCAGGCCTCCTGGTGGATCAGAGCCTGATCAACCAGGCTGTTACTGCTGGCTGCACGCAAACCAACGTACGAGCCACAGCCCGGCTGGTCAGTATAACCATTGGTATAAAATTATGGTTATAAGTATAACCATTGCAATGGAATTTCCATTAGCCATTATTATGTGCAGATTTCCTGGAATATTAACCCAATTATCAGTGGGAAAAGCCATTTATGGATCTTTTCAGAGGTCTGTAGAAATATCTTTCTTTACCCTGGGATCCCTACTACACTTGCTACCTCTGTTTTATACCGGTATTATATACCATTTTAACATACTTTTTCCATGTCAGTAGAAAGTAATGAATGTAGGCGATGTAGATAGCTAAGGCATGACGGATATACGTGTATTCTCTTATTGACTAAATGATTGTGTGAACGCCAAGTGGACACCACTTGAGTTGGTCTTCGACTCTTGCTTAAGTGAGCATTTTCTTATTAAGTAACCTTATTTAGGTACAGGTATACATAAATACATTTATATAAATTATCATACATATTAACATATGTGTAAATTATCTAGGATAACCCAAAGTCAGCGTGACTTCTGTTGGGGTTCTTGGCGTCTTTGGCTACAGACTTGGTAAGTGTTGTGGATAAATGGTTCAGAGAACCGACAAGTTGATAAATTAAACACTTGTGTAACACTTGTCGGTTCTCTTAACCATTTATCTACATTCTTGTCAGATACAGTAACATCTTGATACAGGGAATTATTCACTTGCCTAACCTAGAGTCATGACCTACTTTCATCTGTCAATTTATCCAAGGTGACACCACCTACGACTGCTTCACCTCATCTGTCTGCAGTATATATAAGCCCCTTCTTCTCACACATGCTGTATTCCTATCGAGAAGACCATAATTTTTAAAGGGGTGGAGGGGTAAGCAAGCGGAAGGCCTCGGTCAGATGACCAGAAGCTCCAGCTGTGGGTCATCATCTAAGACCCGCGTCAGGAAATACTTAGTCCTGTTTCCAGACAAACCTTATCTAACCTAACCTTATTAAGATGATGGACTGATTACATCGACTCCAGGCTGAGGGACTGATTACTTGTTAACTTCGCTATTCTTCTTTGTATTGGACTGATGAAGCCTCTTGAGTGGCAAAATGTTTCCACTATAAAGATGTCTAGTATTACACTGTGTCTAATTTATAACATGTTGCGTGTTGTTGCAGATGGGTCACTTGGAGGTGCAACGACCGCCCGAGATCGATGACGCTATGAGTTCGGGAGATGTGGTGGCCACAGAAGGTGACCGAGCAGTGTTGAAGTGTGTGGCCACGGGCCACCCTATGCCCTCAGTCACCTGGGTCAGGGAAGATGCTGCCACAATCATGGTCTCAGACGGGCTCATCACCAAGCCAGGTAATGTGAGAAATCACGAAAGCACTTGGAATTTCACTATTTTTGGTTACAGTAGTTAGTAGAGGAATTTGGGAGGGTATGTAAAAGAAAGAAAATGAACATAGAAAATAGCAAAGTGATGAGAAGGAGAAGTCTGGGTATGGTGGAAGTAAATGTAGATATTTGGGAGTGGACTCGTCAGCAGGGAGGGAGAGATACATGATTATATACACCTGGAAAATCCTAGAGGGACTAGTACCGAACTTGCACACGAAAATCACTCACTACGAAAGCAAAAGACTTGGCAGACGATGCAACATCCCCCCAATGAAAAGCAGGGGTGTCACTAGCACGTTAAGAGACCATACAATAAGTGTCAGGGGCCCGAGACTGTTCAACTGCCTCCCAGCACACATAAGGGGGATTACCAACAGACCCCTGGCAGTCTTCAAGCTGGCACTGCACAAGCACCTAAAGTCAGTTCCTGATCAGCCGGGCTGTGGCTCGTACGTTGGTTTGCGTGCAGCCAGCAGCAACAGCCTGGTTGATCAGGCGCTGATCCACCAGGAGGCCTGGTCACAGACCGGGCCGCGGGGGCGTTGACCCCCGAAACTCTCTCCAGGTAAACTCTCCAGATGGGTCTATGAACGACGGAGTGAACCACAGAATGGACGAGGGTTAAAAAGTAGAGGGTGTGTTGAGAGATTTGTGGAAAGAAGTTTATCCATGGAAGCAAAACAGGTTAAAGAACCGGAGTACAGTAGTACCAACACTTTTACATGGGTGTGAGGCGTGGGCTTTAAACACTGCAAATGTCATGTTTGAGAGCGATGTGCGGTGCGACTAATGTGGAGCATTCAGAGTACAGAAATTAGAAATTGTGGAGTTATCATGGGTATATACCTGGAGAGGGTTTCGGGGGTCAATGCCCCCACGACCCGATCTGTGACCAGGCCTCGTGGTGGGGTCAGGCCTGATCAACCAGGCTGTTGCTGTTGGCCGCACAGGGTTGACAAGGAATTGAGATGGTCTGGTCATTTAGAGGATGTAGCAAAATAAGATGACCAAGAGGATGTATAAATCTGGGGTGGAAGGACAGAGGGAAAAGTTGGAGGGGAGGGGTTAAAAGAGGTTTTGAAATAGGAACTTTAGCATCCAAGAGGCTAGTGTGAGCGCATTAGATTGGAGTGTAAGTAAACAAGTGGGTTTTATGGCTTCAGGTACTGATAGTGTGAGAAATGTGAAGGTATTCAAGACAAACCTGTTAACTGGACTCAAGTCCTGGAGGTAGAGTACAGTACCTGTACTCTAAAAGACTGATGGGGATGCTGCCGTTCAGAGGCTCATTTTGAGCTTCGTTGTCTTCGCAAGACAACTTTTGACTGAATTACGCTGAATATTTCATTCTTTTCGGTCTTCCTTCGTGGGCAGGAAGTATGAATATGATAATGGTATACAATATCCACAAGTTGATAAGTAAGACACATGTGCAACAGTCAGGTATCTTTATTCCAAAACCATTCGCCTAGACAGTAGGCTTCTTCAGTCGAGTACAGGAGAGTTAGCAGAAGCAGTAGAGATGTGAAGACGATGTAATCAGTCCATCACCCTTGAAAGACTCGGCAGGAGATGCAACATTCCCCAATGAAAAGCAGGGGCGCCACGAGTACATCGAGAGACAACAAAATAAGTGTCTGGGGCCCAAGTCTATCCAATTGCCTCCCAGCATACATAAGGGGGATTACCAATAGACCCCTGGCTGTCTTCAAGAAGGCACTGGACAGGCATCTTAAGTCAGTACCTGACAAACCAGGCTGTGGTTCGTACGTCAGCTTGCGTGCAGCCAGCAGTAACAGCCTGGTTGATCAGACCTTGATCCACCATGAGGCCTGGTCTCAGACCGGACTGCGGGGGTCAACGCCCCCGCAGTCCGGTCTGAGACCAGGTAAACTCCAGGTAAAACGTAGTTTTTGTAGTCAGTCCCTCAGCCTGAGGGCCAAGGGACTGACAACCTCAAAACTACGTCTCCACATCTCTACTGCTTCCTCTGTACTCGACTGAAGACGCCTACTGTCTATGCAAATCGTTTCGGAATAAAGATACCTAACTGTTACACGTGTCTAATATGTTTGACGTATGCAGTATACAAGGGTCGGACACAGATACTGACTTCCATTTCACTACACTGACAACATGTTCTTTTCAGTGTCATCATGGGAAGGAGAGACGCTAGAGGTAAACCGTGTGTCCAGAGATGACATGGGCGCATACCTTTGCATAGCCCGTAACACCGTCCCTCCCCAGGTGTCCAAGCGTGTCCAACTACATGTCCACTGTGAGTATGTCACTCTTTTGTCTTGCCATGTCAGTTTAGTTAGGTCCGTTGGTCCTTTGCAATCCAATGTGCCCTGGCGGAAGATTCATCTGTAAAATCTTGCATTTGTGGTCACAGTGGTGGCCCATGCTAACCTCCCTATGATGTATAAATATACCTGGTTGGATGAATCTTATTGTAGCCAACTGGTCCAGTGGTTTATGCACTGACCTGGAGTTTTACCACTCACCTGCCACAAGTTCCAACCCCACCTGTAACCTGGGTTGTCTGCAGTCCTGTAATTATGATTTCATACACTAATGCACACAAATTGTATGGTATAATTTAAACCTATAACTGGACATGGATGTAACTAATGTGGCATTTTATTGTGGTAACGTTTCACTCTCCAGGAGCTTTGTTAGGCAGACAATACAAGGATACAGCTCTGTCACTCTGTCTGACTTTTTTGGGTTATCCTAGGTTCTCTACACATATGCTGCTATGTATGATAATTCTATGTAACTGTATTTGTGTATACCTGAATAAACTTACTTACTTAATTACTTACTTACTTACTTACTGTGTCCTTGTATCATTTGTAATGGCTTGACAAAGCTGTGGTGTATACTTATTCAGTGATGTATATTCAGTGTTGTATACTTATTCAGTGGTAAGTAAGTTTATTCAGGTATACACAAATACAGTTACATAGAATTATCATACATAGCAGCATATGTGTAGAGAACCTGGGATAACCCAAAAAAGTCAGACAGAGTGACTTATTTCCATTGGGGTCCTTTTACCTTATTATTATAATATAATTTATTTATTTATTTATTTATTTTATTTATTTATTTTATGTCTTTGCAAACAGTACATTGAGATTTTATATTTACAATAGTGAGTTGCAATACAAAGAGAGCCTCTATTATGCCTAGGCATTATGGGCCAACTAAACATTATTGACTTACAGTCTACTTAACACTAAGGAATACTCCTTAGTTGTACAGTAGGATAGTAATTATTTCATAGTTGTACAGTAGATTATTAATTATAAGTGAATCTAATTTGTATAAGACAAAAGATATATTTATATATACAAAAATGTTTTTTGTGAAAACAATGATTCAATTATATTCGTGTCAACAATGGATAAAAGGTTCAAAGTGATTGTTGAAGTTATGATGTGGGAGAACATAGGTGAGTAAGTGTGTACTGAGTATTTAGCATTTAGTCTAGGGTGATTAAGTGGCTTTTGAGAAGAGTCTTAAATTTATTTTCAGACCGGGTTACTTTAATACCTTCTTGTAATGAATTCCATATTTTGGGGCCCTTTATGTGCATAGAGTTTTTACACAGTGTGATATGGACACGAGGTATATCAAAAAGAAATCTGTGTCTTGTGTTGTGGTCATGTGTCCTGTTTAGGTTGGTGAGGATAAGTTAGAGTGGTGGGTTAATACATATTTGTGTGTATTGTTCTGTGTATGTAGTAGGCACATGAATAAGTATGGATGTTCTTAATGGTGAGCAGATTCAGACTTTTGAAAATTGGTGGAGTATGCTGGCGGGAGTGGGAGTTTATCATTCTTACTGCTGCCTTTTGCTGGGTTATTAGGGGTTTTAGGTGATTGGATGTTGTTGATCCCCATGCACAAATTCCATATGTAAGATAAGGGTATGTGAGTGAATGGTACAGTGCCAGAAGAGCTGATTGTGGAACATAGTACCTTATCTTATTATTATTCTATAATGAAGATAACATCTTATTATCATACTAAAAAGACTATCTACTACACGAGGGTCATTAAAACTATCTACAGTACGAGGGTTATTACTAGGAATAAGGTAAAATTACACGTGTTAGCTAAAAAATAAAAAATCATTCCCCTCCTTTTCTGTAACTAAATTCATCAGACACCTTTTGGCACTCTTCTTGAACTGGTTCATGCTATGACTGACTTTGACATGTGCAGGCAGTCTGTTCCATTCCTTTATTGCTGTACAATAAAAGGGGTTTGAAGCCTGGCCACTGACTGTGGGTACTACAAAGTTGTGCTCTCTCCCCCTAGTAGTATGATTGCTTTGGTTCCCAACCTTGACAAAATTGACAGCAAGATATTCTGGACACTGTTTGTGAGCAATTTTATAAACATGATTTAGCTTCAGTTGTTTTACTCTGTCTTCAACATTCAGCATATCCAACTGCTGTAATTCATGCTGGCCTACATGTTCTCTTGGACCCAGGTCCAGGATAAATCTTACTATTTTGTTCTGGGTGATTTGCAGTCTATCTTTCAGTTTTTTTGTTAAGGGCTAGACATAGGGTCCTGCGAGCCTCAGTAGGTAGACACTGTCCTTGTCTATAGAGGAACTTCAGTCTGGCATTTGCTTTCTTTACTACACTGTTCACTATCAATTCTCCTGACATGCATGGGTCAAAGGGGATTCCCAGATATTTTACTGAGGAAACTAAAGTGATGGGCTTCCCATTACACTGGAAATTAAAATTATTTACCCTTCTCAGTTTATGTTATGTGCCAAAGAGAATGGCTTCAGTTTTCCCGAGGTGTAATAATAGTTTGTTGTCTATTAACCATTTGCTGCAGGACTCCAGTTCCAGTGTTAATACATTAGCTATATCTTGTGGGTCTTTACCTGACACTAACAGAGCACTGGCATCTGTATGCAGTAGGAGTTTGCACTTGACACTGATAGGCATGTCATTAATATAGCATAGGAATAATAAGGGGAACTCCACATGCTATCGGCAGGGGTTCTGATTCCGTTTTGTTGATTTTGACAATTTGTCTCCTGTTGCTAAGGTAGGACTTAAACCAGTCTACAGAACCTATACCAATAGCTTGAAGTTTCTTACATAATATATATATGTATTGTGGTTGACAGTATCAAAGGCCTTTTGCAGATCTAAGGTTACCATACCTATGAGGTTCCCTATTGACATTTCAGTTCTCAAGTAATCCATCAGATTAATTAGGGAGGTGTCGGTTGAGTAAGATCTTCTAAAGCCTGATTGATAGCTATGGAGAATATTGTTGTCATTAAGGTCACAATTGGAAGTTGAAGACTCAGATGAGTCAAAGGGATGTTAGGAAGAATTTCTTCAGTGGAATAGCCTGACAAGTGATGTAGTGGAGGCAGGAACCATTCATAGTTTTAAGATGAGGTATGGTAAAGCTCATGGAGCAGGGAGAGGGAGGACCCAGTAGCAATCAATGAAGAGGTGGGGGCCAGGAGCTGAGTCTTGACCCCTGAAACCACAAATAGGTGAGTACACATAGTGGTGTATATTCAGTGGTATACATATTCAATAGTGTACACCTGTTCAGTGGTGTATATTTAGTGGTATACCCTAGTAACCCCTTCTCCTGTATACAATTACTAAAAAAGAGAAGAAGAAAAACTTTATAAAACTGGGTTGCTTAAATGTGCGTGGATGTAGTGCGGATGACAAGAAACAGATGATTGCTGATGTTATGAATGAAAAGAAGTTGGATGTCCTGGCCCTAAGCGAAACAAAGCTGAAGGGGGTAGGAGAGTTTCAGTGGGGGGAAATAAATGGGATTAAATCTGGAGTATCTGAGAGAGTTAGAGCAAAGGAAGGGGTAGCAGTAATGTTAAATGATCAGTTATGGAAGGAGAAAAGAGAATATGAATGTGTAAATTCAAGAATTATGTGGATTAAAGTAAAGGTTGGATGCGAGAAGTGGGTCATAATAAGCGTGTATGCACCTGGAGAAGAGAGGAATGCAGAGGAGAGAGAGAGATTTTGGGAGATGTTAAGTGAATGTATAGGAGCCTTTGAACCAAGTGAGAGAGTAATTGTGGTAGGGGACTTGAATGCTAAAGTAGGAGAAACTTTTAGAGAGGGTGTGGTAGGTAAGTTTGGGGTGCCAGGTGTAAATGATAATGGGAGCCCTTTGATTGAACTTTGTATAGAAAGGGGTTTAGTTATAGGTAATACATATTTTAAGAAAAAGAGGATAAATAAGTATACACGATATGATGTAGGGCGAAATGACAGTAGTTTGTTGGATTATGTATTGGTAGATAAAAGACTGTTGAGTAGACTTCAGGATGTACATGTTTATAGAGGGGCCACAGATATATCAGATCACTTTCTAGTTGTAGCTATACTGAGAGTAAAAGGTAGATGGGATACAAGGAGAATAGAAGCATCAAGGAAGAGAGAGGTGAAGGTTTATAAACTAAAAGAGGAGGCAGTTAGGGTAAGATATAAACAGCTATTGGAGGATAGATGGGCTAATGAGAGCATAGGCAATGGGGTCGAAGAGGTATGGGGTAGGTTTTTAAAAATGTAGTGTTAGAGTGTTCAGCAGAAGTTTGTGGTTACAGGAAAGTGGGTGCAGGAGGGAAGAGGAGCGATTGGTGGAATGATGATGTAAAGAGAGTAGTAAGGGAGAAAAAGTTAGCATATGAGAAGTTTTTACAAAGTAGAAGTGATGCAAGGAGGGAAGAGTATATGGAGAAAAGAGAGAAGTTAAGAGAGTGGTGAAGCAATGTAAAAAGAGAGCAAATGAGAGAGTGGGTGAGATGTTATCAACAAATTTTGTTGAAAATAAGAAAAAGTTTTGGAGTGAGATTAACAAGTTAAGAAAGCCTAGAGAACAAATGGATTTGTCAGTTAAAAATAGGAGAGGAGAGTTATTAAATGGAGAGTTAGAGGTATTGGGAAGATGGAAGGAATATTTTGAGGAATTGTTAAATGTTGATGAAGATAGGGAAGCTGTGATTTCGTGTATAGGGCAAGGAGGAATAACATCTTGTAGGAGTGAGGAAGAGCCAGTTGTGAGTGTGGGGGAAGTTCGTGAGGCAGTAGGTAAAATGAAAGGGGGTAAGGCAGCCGGGATTGATGGGATAAAGATAGAAATGTTAAAAGCAGGTGGGGATATAGTTTTGGAGTGGTTGGTGCAATTATTTAATAAATGTATGGAAGAGGGTAAGGTACCTAGGGATTGGCAGAGAGCATGCATAGTTCCTTTGTATAAAGGCAAAGGGGATAAAAGAGAGTGCAAAAATTATAGGGGGATAAGTCTGTTGAGTGTACCTGGTAAAGTGTATGGTAGAGTTATAATTGAAAGAATTAAGAGTAAGACGGAGAATAGGATAGCAGATGAACAAGGAGGCTTTAGGAAAGGTAGGGGGTGTGTGGACCAGGTGTTTACAGTGAAACATATAAGTGAACAGTATTTAGATAAGGCTAAAGAGGTCTTTGTGGCATTTATGGATTTGGAAAAGGCGTATGACAGGGTGGATAGGGGGGCAATGTGGCAGATGTTGCAAGTGTATGGTGTAGGAGGTAGGTTACTGAAAGCAGTGAAGAGTTTTTACGAGGATAGTGAGGCTCAAGTTAGAGTATGTAGGAAAGAGGGAAATTTTTTCCCAGTAAAAGTAGGCCTTAGACAAGGATGTGTGATGTCACCGTGGTTGTTTAATATATTTATAGATGGGGTTGTAAGAGAAGTAAATGCGAGGGTTTTGGCAAGAGGCGTGGAGTTAAAAGATAAAGAATCACACACAAAGTGGGAGTTGTCACAGCTGCTCTTTGCTGATGACACTGTGCTCTTGGGAGATTCTGAAGAGAAGTTGCAGAGATTGGTGGATGAATTTGGTAGGGTGTGCAAAAGAAGAAAATTAAAGGTGAATACAGGAAAGAGTAAGGTTATGAGGATAACAAAAAGATTAGGTGATGAAAGATTGAATATCAGATTGGAGGGAGAGAGTATGGAGGAGGTGAACGTATTCAGATATTTGGGAGTGGACGTGTCAGCGGATGGGTCTATGAAAGATGAGGTGAATCATAGAATTGATGAGGGAAAAAGAGTGAGTGGTGCACTTAGGAGTCTGTGGAAACAAAGAACTTTGTCCTTGGAGGCAAAGAGGGGAATGTATGAGAGTATAGTTTTACCAACGCTCTTATATGGGTGTGAAGCGTGGGTGATGAATGTTGCAGCGAGGAGAAGGCTGGAGGCAGTGGAGATGTCATGTCTGAGGGCAATGTGTGGTGTGAATATAATGCAGAGAATTCGTAGTTTGGAAGTTAGGAGGAGGTGCGGGATTACCAAAACTGTTGTCCAGAGGGCTGAGGAAGGGTTGTTGAGGTGGTTCGGACATGTAGAGAGAATGGAGCGAAACAGAATGACTTCAAGAGTGTATCAGTCTGTAGTGGAAGGAAGGCGGGGTAGGGGTCGGCCTAGGAAGGGTTGGAGGGAGGGGGTAAAGGAGGTTTTGTGTGAGAGGGGCTTGGACTTCCAGCAGGCATGCGTGAGCGTGTTTGATAGGAGTGAATGGAGACAAATGGTTTTTAATACTTGACGTGCTGTTGGAGTGTGAGCAAAGTAACATTTATGAAGGGATTCAGGGAAACCGGCAGGCCGGACTTGAGTCCTGGAGATGGGAAGTACAGTGCCTGCACTCTGAAGGAGGGGTGTTAATGTTGCAGTTTAAAAACTGTAGTGTAAAGCACCCTTCTGGCAAGACAGTGATGGAGTGAATGATGGTGAAAGTTTTTCTTTTTCGGGCCACCCTGCCTTGGTGGGAATCGGCCGGTGTGATAATAAAATAAAAAATAAATTATTCAGTGGTATACACATTCAGTGGTGTATACCCATTCACTGGCATATACTTATTCAGTGGTGTATATTTATTCATTACTATGCACTTAGCTGCATATATCTACTGGTATATACTTATAGTATATACTTAATTGAGTTGTATATTCTTATTCAGTGGTGTATGACCCATACTGGTTTAGTGAATTTTTTTTAAACATGATACTATATTAATATTCAGTGGTATTATGTTAGCAAGAAAGCACTAAACCCATAGGAGGGAAGGGTGGTCTACACTCTTTGAAGTGTTCCTTGAGGCTGAAGGGCTCTTGATCCAAGAAATAATGACTTCCTCGGATCAAACCTCGGGAACTCTCATTGCCTGATTACAATAATCTTATTTGAATCACCAGAAGAACTAAACCCGTGGGAGCCATATAACACCTGGGAAAAGGAGGGATTTAAGGTTAATCTAAGGATCCAGTTCCTTGGATCAAAATTCCCTCACTGCAGTCATGGGACCTCTCATGTGGGGACAATAATATATTTAATTGTAGCGATAGATATAGTATTTAATAAGATTATTCAGTGTTTAATGTGTATAGGTGATGTAGCACTGCAGATGAGTTGCGAAAGTTTAGGTACAGGTACACATTTATTTTTATTTATTTATTTATTTTATTTATTATTATTTGGACATGATACATAGTTGTACGAAAGAAATCCAATGGTTGGGTGTGCATGCCAAAAGCCCCTTGTAAGTAGAGCATTATGGGCAGGCTTAAAATTAACTTAATCTTAACTAAGCAATGATATATTCAGTGGTAAAAATTAAAGTAAACAAATTACAACATGAAGTACAAATGAGTATTTCAAATAAGAGGCTTTATAGTTGTACAAATTTGTAGCACAGTTTATAATATAATCCGGTCAAATCGAATAAAATCAATGATTTGTAGTGCAGAAACAGGTCATATGGTCATCTGATGAGTTACTGTGCATTCAAGAGAATGGAGTATTCTATTAGGTAATGTAATTACAAAAAAAAAAAAAACAGTTTGATAGGGTCACAAGTTATACATTTATGAGATACAGTTAATCACTATTTATTTAGTTGTGGGTGAGTAAGTGGTTTTTAAGAAGTCTTGAACTGATAAACAGACAGTGTTTCTTTTATATTCACAAGTATAATGAATTCCAGATTTTTGGGCCTTTCATGTGCATTGCATTTTTACATAGTGTGAGATGGACACGAGGAACATCAAAGAGTGATCTGTGCCTTGTGTTATGGTCATGTGTTCTGTTGAGGTTGGTAAGGAAAAGTTTGAGGGGAGAGTTTATATCCGAGTTAAGCGTTCTATGTATGTAGTAGGTACAATAATAAGTATGGATGTTTTGTACGGTGAGTAGGTTTAGAGTTTTGAATACTGATGGAGTGTGCTGCCTATGGTGGGAATTTGTTATCATTCTTACTGCAGCCTTTTGTTGGGTAATTAATGGTCTGAGATGGTTTATTGTTGTTGAGCCCCATGCACAGATTCCATAGGTGAGATAGGGATAAATGAGTGAGTGATATAGGGCCAGGAGGGCTGACTGTGGAACAGTACTGTATCTTCAATAGTATGCCTATAGTCTTAGAGATTTTCTTGGAAATCTGTTGTACATGTGTTTGAAATTTGAGTCTATTATCAAGGTGGATTCCTAAGAATTTTCCCTCTGTGAGCTTTGTGATAGGTGATCCTTTTATCATTATGTTAAGAGGAACATCTGTAATTCTGTTTCCAAACTGAATGAAGTAGGTTTTGTCAATATTGAGAGTAAGTTTATTAATCATCATCCAGGTAAATATTTTCTGTAATTCAGTATTTACAGTATTGGCTAGCATGACTGGGCTTGGGTGAGAGAAGACGTATGTAGAGTCATCTGCAAATAGTGTGGGTTTGAGTAGTTGAGATGCATTTGGTAGGTCATTTATGTAAATGAGAAAGAGAAGAGGGCCAAGGACACTTCCCTGTGGGACATCAACTGTAATTGTCTGTGTGGAAGAGTTTGCTCCATTTGCTCCATATTGGCTTCTGTTGCTGAGGTAAGACTTTAGGTAGTTGAGGGAGTGCCCTCTTATACTAGTGTGACAATTTTATGTGCAACAAATCATGGTCAACTGTATCAAAAGCTTTACGTAAATCAATGAAGATCCCCAATGGGACTTCTTTTTCTCGAGTGCAGTGTATATTTGTTCTAGCATGTGTATAATAGCATCATTCGTATTTTTATTAGGCCTGAACCCACACTGACAGGTTGAGTATGTTGTGGGAGATGAGGTAGGAATAGATTTGCTTATGAATTAATTTTTCAAAGATTTTAGAGAGGGTGTAATTTGGATATTGGCCTATAGTTCAGCTATTGCTAGGTTTTTTTGATTATATATAATTAGTTGTTTGATTCTTGTTGGGGTGACCCTCGCTATTTTGAAAACTGTGGGGAAGGTAGAGGATTAGATGGATTTGTTAAAGAGTGTTGCAATGATTGGTGACAGCACTTGTGAAGCTTTTTTGTATATAAAGGGTGGTAAAGTATTTAAGTCTCCTGTCGTTTTTTAGTGCATTGATAATAAGGGAGACTTTGTTGGGTTAGTCGGAGCTAGGAACAGTGTATTTGCGTAGTTGCTGGTGAGGTAGTCGCCAGTGAGGTAGTCATTGGGTGGGATATTTGAGCTTGGGATTTTATCGGCAAGGTTTTTTTCTATGGTGGAGAAGAAAACATTGAGTCTGCTGTTTCAATTGGTGGGAGTTGGAGTTCATCTGGTTTTGTTAGTTTGATTGCCCTGTTTCCTGATATCTTTTTTGTTCCTAGAATTTCAGATAGGGTTTTCCAGGTCTTTTTTATATCAACTTTTAAGTTGGATAATCTATTCTCATAATACAATTTTTTTTTTGCCCTTCTTATCAGGCTGGCTAGGATTGATGAGTAACGTTTTGTTTGGTCTCTGGTTATCTGACCCATTCTGTACTGTTTTTCATATAGGTGCTTTATATTTATGGATTTGAGGATGCTGGGTGTTAGCCAGGGACTGTTCAGTCTCTTAGCTGTCATCTGTTTGCTTTTTTAGGGCAGTGCTTGTTATGAAGGTATTGGGTCTTTTTTAGAAGATTATTAATACATTCGTCAGTATCTGTATAGATTTCTAGCTCAGTTAGCCAGTCGATGTTTGTCATTGCTGTTGTGAAGTTATTAATGGCTGCCTCATTATGAAGTCTGAAGGTTACTTTAGTAGTGTCTTGGGGTAATTTACCTAGATTGGTTATGAGAAAGGTAGGGTAGTGGTCTGTGGTATTATCTGTGATTATGCTTAATTTTGAAGGGGATATGGTGTTGGTCCAGATGTGGTCTAATAGAGAAACACTAGTCTCTGTAGTTCTTGTAGGTTTTGTTATTGTTGGTAGCAAAAAGCAGTTACTCATAGCATTTGTGAATTCAGTAACATGTGGGTCTTGGTCTTGCTGGAGATTTATATTGAAGTCACCTGAGAGTAGTAAGTGATCTTTATTCATGTGTGCATCAGTTATCATACTTCCTAGGTTTTCACTAAAACGACTAATGTTTGACTGTGGTACTCTGCAGATGTTTATCACTGTGAGAGGTTTTTGTAGGTATTTGGATTCGAATTTAACTATTATATATTCCCCATGTTCATCCCTTGTGCAAGTATTAGTGATACATTCTAATTGGTCTGAGTAGTATATATCTGTGCCACCCCCTTGTTGGTCTGGCCTACAGTTGTGTATGGCTGTGTAACCAGGAATGGCATAGACATTTGGCTTTAGCCAGGTTTCAGTGAGATTAATGATGGACATACTGGCATGCGGGGAATTTAGTAATGCTGTGAGGTCATCGTAATGTTTGCTTAAAGATCTGACATTGTAGTTAAAGACAGTTATGTTGTTGTTGGCTCTGAGAAGTGCCTCTGTTTGTTCTGCTGTGTAGTAATTACAGTTACTGTTTGATTCATTTAAGTCATTCAATAAGAGGTTGGTATCTGGATCAATGCTTGTAATCATAAGATTTATAGTGGATCTATAATTAGACTTAAGTATAAGACAAAGTAAATATTCTAAAGCTAAAAAATAAAACCTGAATTATTTTAATAAATGTAAATAAATGAACTAAGGTAGTTCTTTAAAGCTAAAATAAAGGAGAAAAATAGGTACAATTATCATACATAGTGTAAATTATCTAAGATAACCCAGAAACAAAGTGACTTTGAAGGAATGTGGAAAGGTTAGGACTGTGTGAGGGGTAGAGGTGGGAGTTGGTGGAAGAGTAAAGCTTAAAACAAAGTTGGTTGTCATAGGTTAGTTTGCATTAAAAAGTGTGTGAGAGTCTGCATCAAAGGTGGGACTTTGAGTGAGGTCAGTCAGTGTGGTGGAGATGCTGAAAGTCTTGTATGCCCACTGATACACGGAGGAGTGTCGGTCATTTCTCTGTTTGTTATACAAGAATCGTATGTTCAGTATGTACGAGAGCGTAGTTTCCCAGACACAACAGCAGTGGGAGGAAGAGGCCAGAATTCCAAATGTGGTTGATAGAATAAAACTGTGTGTTTAGTTTGGCTGAAGGCTACCCAGTACTGCCATGTGAACACCATAATCCAGCAGGTATAAAAGACCTGTGACCCTTGCAGGTTTAGCGATTCTTTTTTATTATAATAAAAGACCTGCCATGGAGTGTTAAGTGTATAATTATGTATTACATTCATGAGAGATTAAACAGTGAAGTAAATCCCACATTAGTGGAAAATAAAACACAAGAGAAAGGACATGTTTATTTTTGTGAAGTACTGTAACAAAAAAAATTCAATGTTTAAATTTTTTTTATAAAATATATATACGCATTAGTTACGATGGGTTTGCAGTTTGTTGGTTGCAGATGACATACAATTATGAGAAGACACGATCATGTATATTCAAAAGAAGGGCATTTGTGTGGTGAGGTATTTTAAGCAAATTAATTCTAAATCTTGCAAACTACTTAATTATAGTCCTAGCATATAAATTTAGGCATAGTGTAACACTATAATGCTTTAAGTTCAAACCCATGAACTCTGACAAGGGAATTGCGAGTGTATGCACCTGGCTGTGCTGCCGGGCCATAGTGTAACAGTGCAGTATGAGTGGGGTATTACAGATCAGCTATGATGATGTCCTTGTGTCTTGTGCAGTGTGGGGTGAAAATTCACAATGAACAAATGTGTCAATTCAGTGGACTCAGCCCCACAGTCTGAGTCCGCTGAAGTCTTAGTTCCAACCACTGTGATGTGGTGCCCTGGTAAGGCTATACCTTGGGTTAGAATTAGTCACAACAATGAATTATTTATATAGGTATAAATAAGTTACAATGAACATTATGGTGAACTTATTAACTAAATACTTCTATGCCTCACAATTTTTCCTTCCACCTCAGAATATTCACTTTTCCACCCCTACCACAACTCCAAGTCACAGTTCATTCCCCATTAACCTAACCCCCTTCCCTTTGATGCCCCTTGCTATTATTATTATAATCCAAACCAAGCACTAGACCCAGAAGGATCACACCCCCATACTAAACTTTCACTAGCTCATTCCTAAACTTGTATCAATCCTCTCAACCTCACAGTTGACTCTCCTTCACCCTGTATATAAAACCTATTTCCCTATTCTGGCTGCTAGAGATATAGTATCTTGAAATTCTGTTCCAGCTGTGTTATGGATAGGTCATCCTGAGAGATGGTATTTCCTAAGTGACAGTAACTCCAGCTCTGCTGAACCTTTACCCCTCAAAAGAGGTTAATTGAGGCTGGTGAGGGGCTCTTGATTCAAGAAATTGAATCTTAACTTTGATTTTCTTGGTTTCAACCTGAATGCTTCCTGTTTCCCTAGGTGGAGTATGACCCGTTTGGATTTAGTGCTCAGCCTCATAAATGAAACTGCGAAATCTTTAATGAAATACCTGATGATATCTTCACTGCCCTACTAAAGTCTCCCAGCTCAGCCTAACACATTTCAACACTACAAGTCACCTGTCATATGTGATGGAATATGACAGAGAAACAGTTACAGATTAGGAACAAAAGCTAATTATCACAGAGAATAGGATAGTAGCACACTGCAAATTTCCCCATCCACAGCTCACGCTCACAGCTCACAGCTCATGCAGGAGGAGCCACATGTCTATGGTGCATCCAACAAAATAAGCAGACTCTTGGATGTCACTACCGCCCGGCTCCGGCTGGGTTACAAGTATCTTTGGCAGGTTAAATCACCACCACCAGATGTAGACCAAACGAAATGTAAACTTTGCCAGATGGATTATTGTCACACCCTGCGTCATTATGTACTGGAGTGCGATAAAATTAATGAATTTAGAAACAACTCACTCAGAAGTGTTCAAGAAATGGCTAAGTATTTTATCCACAGTGGTATATTACAGACCATTCTGGAGAAATACCCTGACTTTGCTAGCTGTAAATAAAGCATTACCACATGTGTGCATGTGTGTGTGTGTGTGTGTGTGTGTGTGTGTGTGTGTGTGTGAGTATGAGTGTGTGTGTGTATGAGTGTGAGTGTGTGTATGAGTGTGTGTGAGTATGAGTGTGTGTGCGTGTGTGTATGAGTTTGTGTGTGTGTGTGTGTGTGTGTGTGTTTGTGTGTGTGTGTATGAATTTGTATGTGTGTGTGTGTGTGTGTGTGTGTGAGAGAGAGAGAGACTCAGCAATCAACATTTGCACCAATAACTCACTACAGTTGTGACCGGGTGTGGAAGTGTGAATTGCTCATTACTCTAAAATTTGTTCATGATTGCAGCCATGTATAAACGTAAGTAACCATTCTTACAGTATTCATTACCTTTGTAACTTGTGAGTTCATTACCTTTGTAACTTGTGAGTTCATTACCTTGTACCTAGTTCAGCCATCAAAACTTTGGAGCCCGGTCCCTGGACCCATTGTGTACCTCTGTAATCTGTAAATACCTTTGTAACTTGTAATGATTGTGACTAGACCTACCTGGAGTTCATTACCTTTGTAAATTGTGAGTTCATTACCTTTGTAAATTGTGAGTTCATTGCCTCTGTAACTTGCTCAGCTATCAAAACTTTGAGGCCCAGTCCCTGGACCCATTATGTACCTCTGTAATCTTTTGACTACCGCCCACAGGATGGGTATGGGGTGCATAATAAACATATTAAACTAAAACACAGCTCACCAAAGTAACCCCCAGATACCCTACAGTTGTTTATCTTGCACTAACCTTCTCTTGCACCTTACAGTTCACCCCATTATACAAGTGCCAAATCAGCTGATAGGCTCACCATATGGCAGTGACGTCACTCTGGAGTGCAAGGTGGAAGCTTCACCCAAACCTGTCACCTTCTGGCAGAATAGTCAAGGTAAGACCAGTACTGAGGTTATGTGTGCTAGTGTTAAAATCATCTCAGGGAAGTGCTTGAATCCATTTAGGGTCATACAAAGCTTGGGGAGGATACATGAGATATGTGCAACACTTGGGTATCTTTGTTGAAATGCTTTTGCCTGCACAAAAGGCTCCCTCATTTGAATACAAGAGAAAGTAGGAGACTGATCTTGAAATGACTTCTCCACTTCTATGGTCTTCAGTGTTGTATTCTCTTGTGTTTGACTGAAGAAGCTTTTCAAGGTACCTAAGTGCTGAATGTTTTATTCATCAATCTGTTGGTAATATATACCATTAATATAAAAATGGAGAGAATAATTTTAATTCCTGGGATGAAGGTACCTGAGTTGAAGGGTGTTTGTTGGTAATGTCACTATTTAGCTGATTATTGTGCTGACAGAAATCATATCTTTTATGTTGAATATGAAACTGTCCCTTTCATAACTCATTCTCATAACTAGGATAATCCTCTTGAAGAGTCGTATTAATACTGGTAGAATTGCCGACAACTTGTACACGAGTTAAAAAGGTTATTGAAGCTAATTGCTTGGGTAGCAACCTGTTTTAATGCTACCCAAACAATTAGCTTTATTAACCTCTTAAACTCGTGTACAAGTAGACCTCTACAATGATTATATTGTGCCTTACACCTCACTCTAAGCCTATACATACCCACTATGTTTGTAAAGGCTTGACAAAGCTCCTGGAGAATGAAATGCTGCCTCAATAAAATGTCACATTAGCTGTACTTGAGTCCTTTTACCTAACTCCTGAAAAGCTGTCTATTATAATTTCTTACATCTCGTAACACCATCTACCTGTCACTCATTCCCCATACACTTAATACTCTTTCCCATTCACCGGTCTCCTCATACACACTACTGTGACTTCCCACTTCCCACACACACATCATATACTCACCCCTCTCCTAGAACACATTGCTTCATCACATACCCTCTCACTGCCCTTATACACAATACTGTTACATCACACACATTCTCTCACTGCTGTCCTCACAGTGCTTTCCCCAAACAAACCTACTTCTCTTCCCTATTCTGCACTCCTCCACATTCTCTCACTATAACTAGTGGCATTACCTGCAGGAGAGATGTTGATGTCTTCTAGCAAGTATGTGGTGCGGGAAGAACACAAGAAGCCTGGAGGCTATGCTGTCCACATGAAGCTCACCATCCACGATCTCACAGCAGCAGACATTGGCCTCTACACCTGCGTTGCAAAGAATTCCATAGGAGAAGTCGAGTCCAACATCAATGTTTACTGTGAGTTTGGGAGAAGAGAAGGGAAATAGTGTTAAAGAATACTATACATGCAAGGGGTTACTGAAGACATTAAGGTTTATATCAAGGTTATCTCTCAAGAAAAATGAAGCTACTGCTAATCCCTGATGTATGAGAACTTTAACTTGTTGCTATTTATTTTATGCTTGCATCCTCATCTAATTTCCAAGCATGTTTGTCAGTATGGTGTAGTATTTCTCTGCCATGCTGTAATAATGTTGGTAGCATTACTGACAGTATGTTAGGCAAAAGGGGCACGAGTGCAGCTGTGACATTTTATTGTGGCAACGTTTTGCTCTTCTGGGGAGTGAAACATTGCCACAATAAAATGTCACATTAGTTGCACTTGTGTCCTTTTATGTTATGCAACAAGTGCTCTCTCACTTCCATCAGACTTAATTCTCAAAGTGATCCATCAGGCCTGGTGGCTAAAGCTCCCGCTTCACACATGGAGGGCCCGGGTTCGATTCCCGGCGGGTGGACACGTTTCCTTACACCTGTTGTCCTGTTCACCTAGCAGCAAATAGGTACCTGGGTGTTAGTCGACTGGTGTGGGTCGCATCCTGGGGGACAAGATTAAGGACCCCAATGGAAATAAGTTAGACAGTCCTCGATGACGCACTGACTTTCTTGGGTTATCCTGGGTGGCTAACCCTCCGGGGTTAAAAATCCAAACGAAATCTTATCTTAACATTTACTCTACAAAATTTCTATAGCAAGCTTCTGTTTTATGAACATATAATGGCACTGAAAGTTTAAATTCAGTAATAATAATAATAATAATCTTTATTTCTACAAGTACTTGATACAACTTATACAGACCATAGCTGACATCAATGATATACTAATATACAGAAAACCCTTTGTTATGCCGAGCATTTCCTGCAAATTTGGTCAGTTTTGTCCCAGGATGCGACCCACACCAGTTCACCAACACCCAGGTACTTATTTTATACTGATGGGTGAACATGGACAGCAGGTGTCTTATGGAAACATGTCCTAATGTTTCCACCCATACCGGGGATTCCCACTCCGGACCTCAGTGTGTAAGCTGTGTTAGTAATCGAGCTACAGGATGCAGACACACTCAAGATCATTTTCAGAAATGAAAAGAAAAAAAAATAAGACAAAGCACAAGGTGTTGGTCCACTTAAGAGACAACTGGCATAACACAATCAGTAAGTAGTAATCCACTGTTTAGAGAGAGACAGTGTGTTAAGTGTGTGGTGATGGTGGGTGTGGGGAGGGGGAGTTACCAGAGGAGAAAGTGAGGGGAAAGAATGGTGAGGGGAGCCCGGCATCTCATTCCATGGTGTGTGGCCAGACAAGCCACTGTGACCAGCTAATTAGAGTGTGTGTGTGTGTGTGTGTGTGTGTGTGTGTGTGTGTGTGTGTGTGTATAGTGTACTCACCTAGTTATGGTTGCAGGAGTCGAGACTCAGCTCCTGGCCCCAGCCTCTTCACTGAGTGCTACTAGGTCCTCTCTCTCCCTGCTCCATGAGCTTTATCATACCTCATCTTAAAGCTATGTATGGTTCCTACCTCCACTACCTCACTTGCTAGGCTATTCCACTTCCTGACTATGACTGAGTATTCAGGTTGAAACAAAATAAGTCCCCGGGCCCTGATGAACTTTTTTTTCAAGAGTTCTTAAAGAGTGTAAAATGGAACTTTGTGAACCACTGATTAATATTTTTAATATTTCTCTTCAAACAGGTGTAGTGTCTGATATGTGGAAGATGGCTAATGTAATTCCTATTTTTAAAGCGGGGGACAAGTCGTTACCGTCAAATTATCGCCCAATAAGCCTAACCTCAATTGTAGGAAAATTACTAAAGAGTCAATTATAGCTGATAATATAAGAAGCCATCTCGATAAGCACAGCTTGATTAATGATACTCAGCATGGTTTCACCAGGGGCCGTTCCTGCCTAACTAATTTATTAACCTTCTTCAGTAAAGCTTTTGAGGTTGTTGATCATGATATAGAATTCGATATTGCTTATTTTAGTAAGGCTTTTGATAGAGTACTGCACCAGAGACTGTTAAAGAAAGTGGCAGCTCATGGCATTGGGGGAAAAGTGCTGTCATGGATCAAGTCATGACTCACCAATAGGAAGCAGAGAGTATGCTTAAATGGGGGTTAAATCCGAGTGGGGATCTGTAACAAGTGGCATTCCAAAGGGATCAGTCTTGGGCCCGTTGTTGCTTATAATATATATCAATGACCTTAATGAGGGAATTACTAGTGATATGAGCAAATTCCCCGATGACACAAAGATAGGTAGGATAATCGATTCAAACGTAGATGTTAGGGAACTTCAGGAGGATTTAGACAAACTCAATTCCTGGTCAGGAAAGTGGCAGATGCAGTTCAATGTAGATAAATGCAAGGTTCTGAAGCTCGGGAGTGTGCATAACCCTAGTACTTATCAGCTAAATAACGTAGAACTTAGCCATACAGATTGCGAAAAGGATTTGGGGATTATGGTGAGCAGCAAGTTTAAACCAAGACAGCAATGCCTAAGCGTACATAACAAAGTAAACAAATTACTGGGATTTATATCTAGAAGTCCCCTCAAGGAAGGTTCCTTGATGTTGGTGAGGGGCTCTTGATTTAGGGAATTGGATCTGTGCTCCAGTTCCCCGAATTAAGCCTGAATACCTTCCACATCCCCCCCCCCAGGTGCTGTATAATCCTCCAGGTTTAGCGCTTCCCCCTTGATTATAATAATAATAATATATCTAGAAGTGTAAGCAACAGAAGTCCAGCGGCTATTTTACAGCTTTATACATCATTAGTCCCTTGTGGCTTAGCACTTCTTTTTGATTATAATAATAATATACATCATTAGTAAGGCCTCACCTAGATTACGCAGCCCAGTTCTGGTCTCCATATTACAGAATGGATATAAATTCGCTAGAAAACATCCAGCGTAGAATGACCAAATTAATACACAGCATTAGAAATCTTCCGTACGAAGAATGATTGAAGACTCTTAAACTACATTCACTTGTAAGACGAAGAATGAGGGGAGACATGATCGAAGTGTATAAGTGGAAGATGGGTATTAACAAAGGGGATATAAATAAGGTTTTGAGGATATCCCTTTAAGAAAAAACCCGCAATAATGGATTCAAATTAGATAAGTTTAGATTTCGAAAGGATATAAAAAAGTATTGGTTTGGAAATAGGGTAGTTAATGAGTAACAGTCTGCCTAGTAGGGTTATTGAAGCTAAAACATTGGGTAGTTTCAAATTTAGGTTAGATAAATACATGAGTGAGAGGGGCTGGATTTAAGTGAGACTTGCATAATGAGTAAATAGAATCATCAAAACTTATTTCTTGGGTAGCACTGAAAATTGGGTTTGGCAAATATTTTGTTAGTGGGAAGGATTATAAAGGACCTGCCTAGTATGGGCCAACAGGACTGCTGCAGTGTTCCTCCTTTCTTATGTTTATGTTTCTAAGAAATACTTCCTAACATCCCTGTGACTCATCTGGGTCTTCAACTTCCAATTGTGACCCACTGTTTGTGTGTAGTGTGTTGGCATATGAGAGTGCATACATGCAAGTTATACAAAGATGTTTGCAGGTGTCTTAGTTTTCACTCCTGGATGCACCTTTTAAACTGTGTGATCACTTACACACTGTTTCACATTTTCAGAATATAATATTGCTTACTCAATAAAATTACAGTGGTGTGTTCCTCTCAACACTCAGTTTACAGGTGTGGCCTCTCTTGATGGTCCTGTTGTCTTCCATTTTCATGTATCTTGTTTTTTTTATGCTGGCCATCTCCCACCAAGGTAGTTTGACCTGAAAAAGAATCACTTTCATCATCATTCACTCCAAAGGTGCACAGATACTAAAGTTCAGATGATCCCTCCAAACTTCATAATATTACCCACTTTTTTTTTATGATTATTTCTCTAATTTCCCTTTCAGTGTATCAACTGGCTAAATCATATAATTCATAGCAGGTGGGAAGGACTTGGATCTTCTTAGGACAATGATTGAAAAGTGTATCACTGGTATTATTTAGTAACAGCAAATAATCTGTTGAAACCTTAATGATAAATTTATAATGTGAATAAATGAAAGTTCATAGTCATTAAAATCACTGACAGTGACTTACTGTTTACATGATTAGAATATTGTCTAAATGACATAATTATAGATTAGCAATGGTATGTCTGAATAGTATAAGAATACAGGGTGTTACTCAGTATTGACTACATGAACACATCATATTGGTACGTCTAAATAGCATATATACAGGGAGTTTCTCAATGCAAACTACATAAATACATCATATAGAGGTGCTTTAACCAAAGACATGCTATTGGGTAAGAAAATTTTAGTAGAAAAGTTTTAACTTTTTCAGCTGCCCAGTCAAAGACTGTTCAGATCCAAGCTGTACTAGTCATGTTTTACAGTTGCTTAGTCTGTGGTCTCAGTATTAACTGTGGCTTTATTTGCAGATATTGCACCACCCACCACAACATCACCTCGCATGGTGCCAAACTTCATAGAGACGAACCGCATTGAGGATGGTGAGGACACCTCCATGTCCTCGCCGGGTGTCCTGACTGACCTGGGTACAGGTGATGCCATATACAAAGATGCACACCGGGTGGGGTCGTCTGAGGGCTCTGCAGGGGACCCGTGGCACACCAGACTACGGCCCAACACAGGACCCTTCGTCCCTACCTCAGGTGTATCTTCGCTGCCAGGGCCAAGGCCATGGTTCCCAGAGAACAGCGAGATAGATACCTCTTCAGGCACCTCCTCATCTGCCAATGGTATCATAATAATCATCAGCAGCAGCAGCGATGGTTGGCGTCAATGCAGGTTCTATGGCCCCATCACCTTAGTGTTGATCAGTTTTAGTTTGGCTTTGGCAGGAGTGTGGTAAAGACCCTAGTCTAAATCTTCCCTCCCACCAGTCATCATACATCCTTGTGTCGTCCACCTGGTATACCCTAATAATGTACTACCTTTGTATATCACCTAATACTCTTTTTTCCACTTCTTGGCACACAGTTTCACACTACAAAAGGAATTTCCTATTCATCCAGACTACATAGAATGTGTGCATTTAACTACATCTTTTAACACTATACCTCTTACAGATTAGCTTCACTGATCCTGAAGCACACCCCATCTACAACCTCCCCTTCCCCACCCAAAATAAATCTACGTCCATAACTGCACATTGCTATCACTCAAGTAATGAACACTCAACATCAGAAACACTACACAATAACAGTACTGTTAACACAAGTAAAACCTAAATCACCAACACTCCTTCACACCATTACCCATGGCCCGATTACTGCATCGACTGTCTAGGCTCCAGCCATGTGTTTTGCGTATGGTTCAGATAAAAATGTGTCATTTCGTTCAGTGATTTTTATGAAGTTATAGATTTTGAGTGGGCTATATCACAAAACTAGTAATGCCAAAACAGCCACTCCTGTCTCAGGCCTGCTTCTCAGTCACTTCATTGTGTAAGTAAACATAACAGCAGTTCATTAGTATAAACCATTATAAATCCCTATAACCATTCCTCCAGACATTTGTAGCTCATAAAGCATTTAAACGAAGTTTTATACACCAATTTTATATCGTGTTCAAAACCTACACGTGTAAGCTGTACATCCTCGATGTACAGTAGGTAATGATAGTGAATTTAAAATGTCCCAGCTCTTCTTTTCTCTCTGAAACAATAGGTAATACTGTACTGTATTTAATCTCTTTTGTATTGATAATGTCTTGATTTATCGGTGATTTCTTAAGAGACTTTCCCTCTTACATATGGATGCAAGATGCATGCAACTTGCTCACTTTGGTAACACTGGCGACCAGTATGGCATCGAAATACTATAAGACTACAACCAACAGTGATAGAATACTTCTTGTCATTCCCGTCCCTAATATTTTCTTGCTTTTACTCCTTAATTTTGGATGTCAACACATCTTAGATACATTCAAAACTAGAATATGTAGGACAGCCACTTCACATGTTTATACAAACATGCTCCACGTTTTTAGTTTTGTTTTAGACAAAAAGGACAATGTCATAGTACAGTAATAAGCAAAGCTCTACAAGCCAAAATTTCACTTAATGCTACACTATGAAGATTATTATTATAATCAAAACAAAGAGCTAAACCTACAAGGGTCATACAACACTCTATACTATGAAAAGAGGAATACCATAGGAGTGAACTGTTGACACTTGTCATGGTGTGGTGGACACCAGTGTCTCCCATGTCTCTGGTTAGCTTTTGCAGTATTTCTCCCTTCTAGGAAAAAAAGTACTACTATTCTATTATTATAATCAAAATGAAGCGCTAAGCTACTACTATTCTAAATCAATAAAAATTACAGTAGTTAACGAACAGTGCTCATCTATAGCATAGTTGGTCAATTTGCTCAACTTATAAATGTAGAACCATTTGGTTATTACCAGTTTGATGGTATTACTAACTCATTGCTACTTACACCACTTCAGAGTTACATTACAGAAACCACCACAATAAGAAGCTAAATTATTCAATCATTGACATTACTCAAACAATACAACCCTTAATTAACGGAGGAGTTTCAATGAATTTATTTCATGAGGGGAGTGCTAAACCCATAGGGGATCATTCATCCCTTTAGAAAATTGAAAGCAATCGGATTCAATCCAGGGAAAGGAAGTGCTGATTCCTTAGATCAAGAGCTTTTTACTGGCATCAAGGTGCCTCCCTTGAAGAGGAGGTGCCTTAAGGCCAATGAGAGGCTTTTGATCCAAGGAATTAAACCTATCCTCCCTTTCCTTGGATCATGCTCAATTGCCCCTCATTCCTATGGGTTTAGCATTCCACCATGATGATAAAACAATACACAATTCATTCCAAGTCATTGACCACAAGTCTCACCAAATTTAGACAAGACAGAAAACATAGTATCCCCACCATTTATGATAAAATAGATACAGAGTTCTTAGGCAAGCATCCTGTAGAAAGTTGGGGCACTGATGGATAAAAAAAGAAATGTCCCTACCCTACAGGTACAAACTGCTCAAACCCCAACACTGCTTTAAGGTAACCTAGTGTTGGGGTGCACAAGTACAGTACTACTACACTTTTTTATACAAGCACATTTATAGTAGCAGTACTCAATTATCCAAATAGTTTTACCTTTTACCCCATCATAGTACGGGGCAGTCCTGTCATTATTTTCTTTTGTTTTAACCCAAGATGCAATACAGGCCAGATGATTAATCCTTGCCTTATTAGATAGCAAAGCATATTGCTGCACAATTATGTTGTACACCCCTAGCCTTGAGCATAAGAGTAGCTGTGGTCTGGGTCAAGCCGACCTGCACGATTCTAGCCACACTACTCTTCATAGGATCAGGAAATTGATACATCACTCGCACTCTTAAGCATATGGGAGATGAACACCTGTCATTAAACACCAACCTCCTTTAAGTATCTTGTATATTAATGTATGATATGATGATGCCCACAAATGCTTGCTAAGAGGATGAGGCCAGTTTTCAGAATCATAAAAACTAAAGATTCCTTATGAAAGTGTGTCCTGTTGCCTTTGTTGAGTAGGGAGCAAAGACCCACTTGGTAAATGTAAGCTCTTTATATTGCAGGAGGAAGAGGAATGACTGATAACCGATTGCAGTTGGATACTTTAAGTCTAGGTGAACAAGTCTGGCCTGGCCTTACTGGGGCAAAAGGGCATATGTACCAACAGACATTGTTCATTTTCTCTGTGCCAATGTATGTGTGAGGGTATGTATAAGTTGCCTGGACCTAGTGGTAACACTCATTTACTCTCCCTACTGTTTCTTCAACTAGATTAGTGCCAACTGTGTAATATTAAGGTGGCAGGAAATACCTCAAGAATGCTTTAATGTTGCTCTCCTTTCTACTTACTGCAGATTTGACTGTCAAAAACCTACAGACCTCTACTACAAGGTAAATAAAGTGCTGGAAGCACTTACAAAATAGTGGAGGCAAACTCCTTACTTGGATTAAAAGTGTGTGTGTGAATTCCTTCACTTCCTTACCTCTTGCTAATCATAGAAAACAACTCTTACTGTCTAGGAAACTTATGTACTCAGCCACTTCCCTTTTCCACATCCTCTCCCAAACTAATGTCTAGAATCAACCTTTATACTGAACAAGTTTTTGTACTTGTGTGTGGTAGACAGCTGGATTTCCCTTGTGGATTTCAGAAGCAATATATTATACGCATATATCCAGTAGCAGTATGTAATCTTGTATAATAACAGTATGTGTGTGAGCAATAAGTTGATGTCTGTTGTGTATATTCAAGTGGATGTCTATTGTGAATGAGAGCAGATGTCTGCAGTGTCTTCCACTAGCTAGCTGTCCCCTACACACAAGTATACACTATACACCACTCTAATACAGCATGTAAGTTATAGTGATAACGTTCCTGTCTGTGTACATAACCTGTTTTCTCACTTGTCGAGTGGCAACTACTCCCTTACTTTTTACCTCACATATCATGTGTTGATATATTGTGATGATTATATTTCACACATTTACATAAATTAATCTTAAGTGAGTATGTAAAAACTATAAACATTTCATATCGAGTATAGAGGTTCCTTTATAAGTGGTCACAACACTCTCCTAAGATGGAAGGAGAGGATGGGGCTTGTCACTAGTTGCAACACCCCAGCCTGGTAGGCAAATGGATGATTAATATATGGGAATGGGTGATGGTGGAATTTTAAATGAAAAGAGGCAATACATAAAGGGTTAGGGAAAGAAATTAGCTAAAAAAGAAGAGAAATGTGGTAAACAGTAAAGTCTCAGGGTAAATGGATACTCTAAAGCAGGAGCTCTTAACTAGGGGTATGGGAACCAAATAATGGGGATACAGGACTTGATCTCCGAACAATTTTAAAAAAACTGTTAGATTAGAATAAACTATCACCTGTACTTTTGCTAGCTTTCCATATGTAAAGTAAAATCAAGTTATTGACATCTTTTGAGGCCATACTGATATCTAATGGGATTAGTGGTAATGATTCCCACAGTCTGGTGAAGGGGGGTGTGGGGGACACACTGGGCAATCCTTTGGGGGTCTGTAATCATGAAAAGGCTAAGAACCATTGCTTCAAACTATCAGTACAACTAAGATGCAGAAAAGGCTTGAAGTAAAAATATTACCGACCAGTAGAGGAACTAACCGCAGTCAGTCCAGGCGAGTTATACATTTAGTCTGGGACACTGCAACACTTGTTTGATTATCTTGTTTTTTTTATTATATTCAGCACAACTAAATGACTATTGTGGGTTTTGTATTTTCCACGAATATAATATTTGTGTTTATGGACAACACTTATTCCATGGGGAACCTCCTAGTCGAGCTGCACCGTCCCAATTATAAATGTAATACTACTGTGCAACGATTTGGTTGATGTTAAATATTTGATCCATGGTAGCAGAAAGACATTTGTAGCAAGAAAGCATTTATATTATTATTATTATATTCATGAGTGCTAAACCCATAGGGGTCATATAGTGCTTGGGGAAATGGAAGGCACTCAGGCTTGATTCAAGAAATTGGAGCATTGTTTCAATTCCTTAGATCAAAAGCCCCTCACCAATATAAAGAAACCTTTCTTAAGAGGAAAAACCTTTTGTAAATATGAGATTGTTTGTGGTAAGTGTGTGTCAGTGCTGTACGACCCTGGTGGTTTAAGTGCTTTGTTTTGATAATAATCTGTCTGCTACAATGTAAGCTTAAAACCACTTTCTACATGTATGACCCATATATATGTCTGTATTGAGCTACAGCCTACTGTTCTGACAAAGTTAAAGATCTGACCTGCCAGGTGGGATGTGCTGCACCAGGTCAAACCCACGAGTGTGACTTCCATGACCTAACATGCTTCATGTCAACTGTTGTCGTTGTTCACATGTTAAGTAAAAATGTTACATATTGATCAGTGGTTTTTCTTTTACACACCTACAAAAGACTGAAATTAATTATCAAAGCCAGCAGACACACCTGCCAGTTCAGGGCTAGAGTTAAGAGCAGGTGAAGCTGCAAAAATGGGAGGAGTGAGATTCTCACTAATACAATGTACAATAGGGGTATATCTATTAATGCACTGAACAACCACAGTGACATAAATCCCTAGCTAAGGCTTACTTTTACTGGACTATATTCCCCTCCTCTCCTAGATACACTAACATGAGCCTAACCCAAGCACAAAAATTCTTTTAAGCCACGTATTTCAGACCTTTGCAACATCTGCCACATTGATCTCCATATCCAACCTATCATGTCTTCTCCCTTGACTAAATATTGCACACATACATTTTTATGCAGACACCTGGTCCACACATCCCCTTCCCTTTCTAAATGCTTTGATTCTTTCTTATCTGCAAACTCACTTTTTTTCCCATAACTCTATTGATAATGATTCTGCCTTACAATTTATCCTGTATATCCAACAGACTTATTTTCTTACCCCTTCGTTACATTCAGTAAAAGCAGCAAATATACTACAGCAGATTATAAACTAATATAATAATCTTTATTTCTACACGTGCATGTACAAGGTCTATAAACCATGGCTGACATCAATGCCATTATACTATATAGAAAGCCTCTTGTTATGCAGAGCATTCTGGCAAATTAGGTAAATTTTGTCCCCAGGATGTGACCCATACCAGTTGACTAACACCCAGGTACCTATTTTACTGCTCAGTGAACATGGACAGCAGGTGTCTCAAAGAAACACATCCTAATGTTTCCCCCTGTACTGGGGATCGACCCCCAGACCCCTATGTGAGCTGAATGCACTAGTAATCAAGCTGTGGGACAACACTGTCCAAGTTGCAATGCATAAATTAAGTATGAATGGGCAATGTACAATGATTTACTACATAACGTACTTGTCATTTCATTCACAATGCCCTAAACCCAAAAGGGTTACAAAGCACACGTACTAGATTAGACATGTACCAGAGATTGTTAATGATAACCTGTGTGAGGATGTGTTACGGAGGTATAAAACTGCCATCCTGATACAGTCACTTTATACTTCAAGGGTGAAGGGCACCTCAGCTGAGGAACTGGAGCTACCTTCTCTTTCCTTGGAATAAACTTAATTACCTCATTCCCCAAGTGATGTATGACATTTATGGGATTAGTATTTCATGTTTGTCAGTTACAGTTCTTTTGGGCAATTCTGAAGACACACTGCAAAGGTAGGTTGGTGCATGAATTTAGGAGGTTATGTAAAAGAAGGAAACGAAAAATGAACATACAAAAGAGCAGAGAGATGAGAGCGACAAAAAATCTTGACAAAGAAACATTGGACATCAGATAGGAGGGAGTATGGAGGAAATATATGTATGTATTTAGATATTTGGGAATGGACTTGCCAGCAGTGGGTCTCTAAACGAAGAGATGAACCACAGAACAAAAGAGAGAGTGGAGAGGAGGGGTAGGGAGTCATCCAAGCAAGGGTTGGAGGGAGGGAGGGGGTAAAGGTTTGAGTGCTGGGAGCATTGAACATGCAAAAGACTTGTGTGAGAATGTCAGATCTTCTGTTGGACTGTGAGTAAAATAATATTTATGGGATTCTGGGAAACCACTTCACTGGACTTGACTCCTAGAGGTGGAAAGTACAGTGCCTGCACTTTAAAAAAAAGGGCTATGGATGTTGCAGTCTGGAGAGGCATCTGAACTGTGATGTCAGTGTGCTTCTGGCAGGACAGTGATTAAATGAATGTGTTTTCTTTTTTTTTTTTGTAGTGGTCATCCTACCTTAGTGGGAGATGGCTAATATGTTAAAAAGAATAACTATCAGCTTTTGTTACTAAGGCTGGAAACCCCAGATGCTGAGTATTTTTTTACATGATCAATGCTGAATGATCCATACAAATTTAATTTTTTTTTTTTTTGTGAATACAGTGGACCCCCGGTTAACGATATTTTTTCACTCCAGAAATATGTTCAGGTGCCAGTACTGACCGAATTTGTTCCCATAAGGAATATTGTGAAGTAGATTAGTCCATTTCAGACCCCCAAACATACACGTACAAACGCACTTACATAAATACACTTACATAATTGGTCGCATTGGGAGGTGATCATTATGCGGGGGTCCACTGTACAGTATAAGTGTACATAATTAGCATTTTATACAATTATATCTACTACTAAATGTAGTAGGTTGGTAGACAGCAACCACCCAGGGAAGTACTACCGTCCTGCCAGATGACTGTGAAACAAAAACCTGTAATTGTTTTGCATGATGGTAGGATTGCTGGTTTCTTTTTCTGTCTCATAAACACGCTAAGATAACAGGGATATCTTGCTACTCCTACTAACACTTTGGTCACACTTCACAGACACGCACATGCATATATATATATACATACATCTAGGTTTTTCTCCTTTTTCTAAATAGCTCTTGTTCTTTTTATTTCTTCTATTGTCCATGGGGAAGTGGAAAAGAATCTTTCCTCCGTAAGCCATGCGTGTCGTATGAGGCGACTAAAATGCCGGGAGCAAGGGGCTAGTAACCCCTTCTCCTGTATACAATTACTAAAAAAGAGAAGAAGAAAAACTTTATAAAACTGGGTTGCTTAAATGTGCGTGGATGTAGTGCGGATGACAAGAAACAGATGATTGCTGATGTTATGAATGAAAAGAAGTTGGATGTCCTGGCCCTAAGCGAAACAAAGCTGAAGGGGGTAGGAGAGTTTCAGTGGGGGGAAATAAATGGGATTAAATCTGGAGTATCTGAGAGAGTTAGAGCAAAGGAAGGGGTAGCAGTAATGTTAAATGATCAGTTATGGAAGGAGAAAAGAGAATATGAATGTGTAAATTCAAGAATTATGTGGATTAAAGTAAAGGTTGGATGCGAGAAGTGGGTCATAATAAGCGTGTATGCACCTGGAGAAGAGAGGAATGCAGAGAGAGAGAGAGATTTTGGGAGATGTTAAGTGAATGTATAGGAGCCTTTGAACCAAGTGAGAGAGTAATTGTGGTAGGGGACTTGAATGCTAAAGTAGGAGAAACTTTTAGAGAGGGTGTGGTAGGTAAGTTTGGGGTGCCAGGTGTAAATGATAATGGGAGCCCTTTGATTGAACTTTGTATAGAAAGGGGTTTAGTTATAGGTAATACATATTTTAAGAAAAGAGGATAAATAAGTATACACGATATGATGTAGGGCGAAATGACAGTAGTTTGTTGGATTATGTATTGGTAGATAAAAGACTGTTGAGTAGACTTCAGGATGTACATGTTTATAGAGGGGCCACAGATATATCAGATCACTTTCTAGTTGTAGCTACACTGAGAGTAAAAGGTAGATGGGATACAAGGAGAATAGAAGCATCAGGGAAGAGAGAGGTGAAGGTTTATAAACTAAAGAGGAGGCAGTTAGGGTAAGATATAAACAGCTATTGGAGGATAGATGGGCTAATGAGAGCATAGGCAATGGGGTTGAAGAGGTATGGGGTAGGTTTAAAAATGTAGTGTTAGAGTGTTCAGCAGAAGTTTGTGGTTACAGGAAAGTGGGTGCAGGAGGGAAGAGGAGCGATTGGTGGAATGATGATGTAAAGAGAGTAGTAAGGGAGAAAAAGTTAGCATATGAGAAGTTTTTACAAAGTAGAAGTGATGCAAGGAGGGAAGAGTATATGGAGAAAAAGAGAGAGGTTAAGAGAGTGGTGAAGCAATGTAAAAAGAGAGCAAATGAGAGAGTGGGTGAGATGTTATCAACAAATTTTGTTGAAAATAAGAAAAGTTTTGGAGTGAGATTAACAAGTTAAGAAAGCCTAGAGAACAAATGGATTTGTCAGTTAAAAATAGGAGAGGAGAGTTATTAAATGGAGAGTTAGAGGTATTGGGAAGATGGAAGGAATATTTTGAGGAATTGTTAAATGTTGATGAAGATAGGGAAGCTGTGATTTCGTGTATAGGGCAAGGAGGAATAACATCTTGTAGGAGTGGGGAAGAGCCAGTTGTGAGTGTGGGGGAAGTTCGTGAGGCAGTAGGTAAAATGAAAGGGGGTAAGGCAGCCGGGATTGATGGGATAAAGATAGAAATGTTAAAAGCAGGTGGGGATATAGTTTTGGAGTGGTTGGTGCAATTATTTAATAAATGTATGGAAGAGGGTAAGGTACCTAGGGATTGGCAGAGAGCATGCATAGTTCCTTTGTATAAAGGCAAAGGGGATAAAAGAGAGTGCAAAAATTATAGGGGGATAAGTCTGTTGAGTGTACCTGGTAAAGTGTATGGTAGAGTTATAATTGAAAGAATTAAGAGTAAGACGGAGAATAGGATAGCAGATGAACAAGGAGGCTTTAGGAAAGGTAGGGGGTGTGTGGACCAGGTGTTTACAGTGAAACATATAAGTGAACAGTATTTAGATAAGGCTAAAGAGGTCTTTGTGGCATTTATGGATTTGGAAAAGGCGTATGACAGGGTGGATAGGGGGGCAATGTGGCAGATGTTGCAAGTGTATGGTGTAGGAGGTAGGTTACTGAAAGCAGTGAAGAGTTTTTACGAGGATAGTGAGGCTCAAGTTAGAGTATGTAGGAAAGAGGGAAATTTTTTCCCAGTAAAAGTAGGACTTAGACAAGGATGTGTGATGTCACCGTGGTTGTTTAATATATTTATAGATGGGGTTGTAAGAGAAGTAAATGCGAGGGTCTTGGCAAGAGGCGTGGAGTTAAAAGATAAAGAATCACACACAAAGTGGGAGTTGTCACAGCTGCTCTTTGCTGATGACACTGTGCTCTTGGGAGATTCTGAAGAGAAGTTGCAGAGATTGGTGGATGAATTTGGTAGGGTGTGCAAAAGAAGAAAATTAAAGGTGAATACAGGAAAGAGTAAGGTTATGAGGATAACAAAAAGATTAGGTGATGAAAGATTGAATATCAGATTGGAGGGAGAGAGTATGGAGGAGGTGAACGTATTCAG